AGACACTTGTTCAACCTAATCTGTAACAACAAAGTTTATTTCTCGTTCTCAATGAGCATGATCAACCATTGCAAAAGTAACAAGATGTTTGTTTGCGGTACGTTAACATAAATCTGAAAAGCAACAGATGATCTTTGAGTCTAGGAAACTCGTCACCAGGGAATTTACGTCGGGTGTCAGGACCTTTTATAAAGCTCGGTAAGTGGGGATATTTTTGCTGAAATTATTGTTTGGCAAGGGCGGCGATGACTTATTTTTTATAAAACTGGCCTGCATTCATGAAATGACTTATATTGCTTAGCTGGAATACTTTGATTTAACATGTAACTTCCTTTTCATTGGCATTTATTACCGACAATTGCTCTGCTAGTTCACAGAGCACAGATTCTTGGTTAAAAAAAACAGGTGAGACAATTTTAGACATAGAAAACTCGTCAATACCCGCAATGTAGTAAGCAACGCGTGCTAAAAACGCTGCAGACCTTTTAACCCCGCGCCCTGCGGACCAGCGGGTACAAAAGTGGCAACACTAGTCGGCCCTGGCGCGGGCAGCTCGGTGACAAACGAACGATGAGCAGCGTGTTAAGAACTGGCAGTGGGCAGCAGTCCTCGGTGATAAGCGGACGATGAGCAGTATGTTCAGAGCTGGCAGCGAACAGTGGTCCCGGCAGCGGTGTGTCGGCCGGCTGGCATACGCCGTCATCAGGGGCGATAGCGGCTCTGAGTCGGTGCTCTCTCGCAGCCACGGAGGGTCGCGGGGAGGGGGAGCCGCTGCGTGTGTTGACCACTCGGATTCCGTGTTTAGACAACTAATAGATGCGATGTTTGACTCGGAAGACGGAGCGGGGTAACCAGCTTTTGGCAATGTCAGCGGTGAATACGTCTACCTCGGCGCACTGACGACTGTCCTCTAATGTCCCGTATCCGGAGAGGATTTCTTACGAGCGCTATCTTTGTAAGTTGCAAGAAGTAGTCATTGCTTTCTTTCCGCTGGTGTTCGTTTGCAGCGTCCAAACCAGGGCTTAGCCGTAATTCCAGCACACTATTGAACATCAAACTGATACCTTAGACGACCGTGCGTCGTTTTTATGCTAGAGTATCTGATTGATCGGGAAATTAAAGTTAACCACCTCCAAGAACGGTGCAATATGAATTAAATAACCTGCAAGGTTTGGCGATCATATGTAAGCTTCTGGCGTCTTCGCAACATAAAGTGAGCTGGTTGTTGGACATGCAGATTGAATAACTTTTACCGCATGTTCATTCCCCAAAATCAGATGAGGGTGCTCTCAGCAAGTTGTGGAAACTCTGGCACTCTATCAAACATACATTAAGGTGATGACAGGCTTCCCGGGCTGAGACGATCCGGCTGATTTGACCGGCGGAACTATTAGATGACTTTAGGTGTGTCTCAGGGCACCATGATGGAATGTGGTATAGTTTTAGATAAAAGACAAAGATGTTGAACGCATTAGGTAGCTTTCCGGCCTTATTTGCCTGTCATTAGGTAATCATTATGGAGTGAAGTGAAGAAGTGATATTTCAATCCGAACTTTTCCGGTTATGTAATATATGGCGTTTTAAAAGCTCGGTGCATCATGATACATACTGGCTATAGTTTTGAAAACGGCGTACCATGGCTGAAAAGCTGTACTAGTTAAATTTAGCTATAACTGCGTAACCAACATTCTGTGAAGGAGAGATCCCCACAGAGAAGCAAGAATCATGCTGAAATAATCCAGAAGTAACGATAGATGCTCTCAGGGGTGCAGACTTCCTGTTCAATTACAGGGCCTGACCTTAACTCTGAGAAGTTGACCAAATGCAGTGAGAAACCTATCGTTTGGGCATTTTAGGGGTTAGATTCGCCACGTCCTCTGCTCGGCAAACCAGAAACTGATTTTGCAAACCAGAAACTGATTTTGCAAACCTGTACTCTTGGATACTGCATACACCATTTAACACAATCGTTGCAGGTCTTGATAACACACAACAGGAAGTAGGTGCTGGATTCATCTTCTGGATGCAGCGACACAGAGTTCGAAAAATTAACACCACCCAGCGTCATGATTTAATTGAAAGTATGATCATGCATTGCAGTTATGAAACGGTCTGCCAAGTTTACTAATACATAACACCAGTCAAGTCTTTTGCATCTCATACATCATCTACAAACTATGCAACTTGTGTATAGCAATACTCTCTGCTGCGTGATGCGCTGTTTTGATATTTAGCCACGAACGATGTATTGATCATCAAACTATCGTTTCAAACAAGCGCATCTAAGGACGAAAGCGGCGCACGGGGATCGGCACGTTTGGTTTTAGATGCCGTCAGCTGTTGAATGAGCTTAAATGTGTTAATGCTGCTTAGCTAGCTCAAGGACGAGCTCGTATCTGCTGTTTGTGTTTGAATGTGTCATCAGCTGCCCAAGGACAGGGCACAACGTCATTTACGGCGCACTATCGGTCATCAAATGTAATGTTTATCTGTATTTACCACGCTAATGCAAAATCTGTGAAAGAGTTCCCATGAGGCTGGCCGGATGCCAACACCTTCCTACTGAAAGCGCAGTTCCATGGGTTCGCGGCCCGGTTCATAGGATATCAGCAGCAGGATACACAGGAGCTACTCAGATGTCTGCAGGAGGAATTGCACGAGGGCGTTAACCGCGTCAGTAACCAACCCAAGCCCATAACCACCGATATCGATGACACCCTTAGTGTTAGCGAGAAGACTCTGGAGACCTGGCAGCGTCTCGAGTTCGTTTTCGTGTTCCTAAAAGGCTTTTTTTCAAGGCTTGGCCATGACTATGTTGGCTCCTTATCGACATAAGCTTGATGTTGACTATTACCGGCTGACCCCTTTTGCACATTTTTAAACATTTTTCTAGACAACCGAGAGAAGGATCAGTTTTGTCTCGGACGAAAATAAATGTCTGGGGTTATGTCTGGGAGCAAATAGACTGGATACATTTTCCTTCAATAGTTTATTCAAAATGAACCAAATTTGTAGACATTTAGATATCTAAGACAGAGCAACCTCAATGCTTGTTAAACATATAGTTAAATGAATTGCTGCATATTTACAGCTCCTTGCTGTGGTCCTTATCTATCGCAAAGTGAAGCGCACGCAACCAGAAGGAAAAGAAGTGTCCGGAAATACAAAATAGGCAAATGAAAAATGTAGCTTCGAAAATGAGTATGCCTGCAGGCCCCTTACAGCTCCTGGTTTTTGCATTATTATTATCGTTAGGTTCGAGCATGTATACCTAGAACTCAAAGGAGGTTGGTGGGCCAGTGCGGTGGTGAGGTGAAGAGTTTTTTTTGTGCTTTTCTTGCTGGTGAGGAGGGGGGGGGGGGGGGTAATTTCCTTGCGGGGCGTTGCGGGTTTCAAAGCTTGGGTTCGGGACGGGTGACGTTTTTCCGAATCTAAAAAATTGGCAGCTCTTACTCCTAGATACCGGGAAATCAGGAAGTTTACTTTTAACCACCGCGCGGCAGCAGTTGGCGAGATGCTCGTACCCAGTCGGGTTAATGTTCTTCTAAGCTTTGCTCCGGCTACGCGGTGCCGTCAGAGCTCTATTGAAAGATCGGGTATATCAACAAAAATCGCCTTTGAAGGCGTAAGGTGGATCACACTCTCCTGACCTAGATTCGTTCACTTGTTTTGTACGGAACCTCGTCCTCTTTTGGGACGAAGATCCAGTCGTTTCATGACAGATGGGCTTGGGCTGCTTGGTTCACTCAAGCCCCAACGTTTATCAAGCTGTTTATTATGGCTTGAAATAGTGTGTGAATGTCTCTCCAGATCGCAGGTGCATTGACCGGCGACAGCACGCGGGTCAGCAGCTACTCGTGCCTTGCAAGTTTCTTGGTAAACATCAGAGGCACGTTTGATGAATGATAAGTGCCGCAACCATTGTGAAATCATAAAACAAATGGCGCAGCATGACAATTTTCCCAACGTCTTTCCATGATGACTGGACGGTTGGGATCACACATCGACTGATGTTCAAAAGCTTTACCAACGACCAACGATGCTCGTTTGCTTTTGACCGTCCGATGTTCTTCACAAAAGTAGCAACGCACTTGTAAAGCGTGAAGCTTTTGACCGCGCGTTCCGAATACGACAGCTATCATAACCTGCAATAGCACTTGTTGCTATCAACAGGCTCACACCGCTCAAGCAGCCCAACTCAATTCACAGTTTCCTCCCTGTGCGTCACTTTGCCTTCTCTGGCGCAATATGTTAGCCCGCAATGGTCAAAGACGCGGCACTAGCTATGCTACCCGGCTGGTTTCCCATGGATTGTAGCTGCAGCGGGTTGTAAACCCAGCGTCTATGGCAAACCTGACTGAAAAGGTAATGAACAAAACTAACTGAAGAGGCGAGGAACGACCGAAAGTAAACCGGGCCCGCGTGGTTAACCGTGTAGCTGCCTGCACTGTCCATTCTGGGTTGAATCTCACTGTGCGCTGGTTATCCGCATGACTGCAGACAGATTTCGAGCTATCTCAGCCCCACGTCGATCGCTCTCCGTCCCCAGCTGGGTTGAAGAGCGCATGCTGCGCCGCAGTACATCACAGCAGCGCGGAACAGCCCTTGTCCAGGCGGTCGCCTTTGCCAGTTGACGGAGAACAGGGCATGTTACTGGGGTGATTGATGGTCGTCTGCACTGGCGTTTTCAGTTATTCTGTCGCCACGCCGTTTTTTGTATGGCAACCCCGAATATTTGCTCGGAATAATATACACTTACGTTATAGTGCCCACTGCAGAGACTGACCTGACACTGCCCACTGCACGGACGCATGCAGGATTTCGCAAAGCAGATCGAGCACGACCTATGAAATATTCATGCTGACACGCATTAAGACAATGGCACCGGAGCAGCGCCGGAGCTATGCGGCGTGCTGCATTCCTGACCGGTGCCCGGGTCCATCGGCCGCAGGTATCGTGTCCTGGGATCCCAGGTGGGACCTGACCGGCACCCTGGAACGACTGGAGGCATGCACCGGCGCCACGCCAACCTGGCGCTCAGTCAGAACATCTCGGCCGTGCTGGAGAACCTGCTGAAGAACTACGACAACATGCAGCGGCCGGCAAGCGGCGTCGGTGAGCTCTGCCCGGGCAGCCGGACAGACAAGGCGTAGTTGGTGCTTGTTATAGCCGAAATCTGTGAGATGTCTTTCGTTAGGCAGATGCGATAGTTTTGTCCGTATGGAATGTAGTAAATTGGCGTTTATTTAGCGTTGATATTGGCCTGGCTTTAAAGCAGCTACACCTACGACGTGTCCGATGATGTCTTGAATTTTTTCTCGTGCTGATATGGAATGGAATTGTGTTATTCAACAAGATCATATTTGTCTCAGGGCATTAGGTACAATAAACACATGCATTTGCCGTGATTTTCTTTTTTTGCACAAAAAACTGCAATACACACTTCCATACCCAAAAAGCTCTCAGCCGCCTCCGACTCGTATGCCTCCTTTTTTGACAGCCGTCCATTTGTGCGCTCTGGTTTTCTATAGAGGGTTAGCCAGTTTGCACAGTTTGCGTATAGTTATAGTTTGTTCGCATTTAGCTCGCGTATCATTAATGGCCTGCTGATAGCTACCTCTATCTCTAAGCCATGCGCAGTGCTACACTTTCCATTATTTGGAAGCAGTTCGCACCACAAAGGGCCGACGGGGGCAATCGTTGCTTAGTCCGCTGCTGATCTCGTGCTAAACGACAATCTGTTCAAAGGAACTGGATTCAATTTAAAACGCTAATGGCATTGCCGTCAACCGATTGCCGAATTATGCAGGCGGCGTGGGTCCCGGCTCGTTGGAGCGAGTACTGCCGCGTCTGTTCCGATCTGTTTCGTTCAACATTCGGGGATCCAATGAGTCGCATTCAGTGCGTCCCGTCTCGCAGGCCGGCGTAATCGACGCTCGCTCCCCGGTTTGACTGGGGAAAAAGACGTGGCTCAGCCTGGTTCCACTCACAGCAAAGGAGTTCCGTTGTCTCCGACGATGTCCCTGAGCACGAACGTTGGGAGCGAAAGACGATGCGCAGTTGGCAAACCACACCATCAGCAATCTGTGTGCAGCCGACTGGGCGACGAGCGTGCATGGGCGTTGCCTTCGCTTGAGAGCGCAGGTGGGACGAGCACCTGGCAAAGAGGCGTCACGGGCACGGCCTTGCCTGAGTCGCGCGATGAGTGGAAAGTGTCATGGGCCCTCATTGGTATGGAGTGGGGCGATCAGCGGATCAGCGCGGAAAATGAGGGGATTTTGGCCATCGATCCGCCAATCGCCGTGAAGACCATGCCCATAAATATGATGCGCGACGACGCGGGGGAGAGCTGAGACATGCGTGCCGCTCAAGAACGTTGTCTCGCAACATGAGTTAGAGCCAGGCTAAACAGAGTAAATGGTTAAAACCACCCCGTACACCCAACATACGCAGAAACGGCTAATGAGCGGCATTTAAACAATTTTCTTCTCAGAGGAGAAGGCTGTGGACTCAAACTGAACAGAAACTACAATCCTGGTACTGCTGTTACTCGTGATGTGGAGCCCTCCTGACCTGGAGCTCGCATTCCTGTGCGCGCGTGGTACGCTTTCCAGTTGGCATGGCACCAGTCTCCGACTTGCGTGAACGTTGGTGGAAGACGAAACGCTCATTGCGGGAACCGGTCTCTTTCTGGAAAAAATTTACTGTTTAGGTCCTAAAGTAAATCATTAAAACACAAAAATTCGACACACCTGTGACATGTAATCATATGTGTGTTGTCAACATCACAGCTATGTCATACGTGTGTAAGATGTCAACATTTATGAATCAATACAACGACCAGTGACTGTTGCTCACTATACAGGGTATCTTCGAAGGTCCCACATAGGTATGCGCCCCACGTGCGCTGGATAGTGTGGGATGGGTATGTTCAGCACAAATTTTTTGGCGGCGTTTGAATCAGCACTTAGTGGGAACTCCGTAATTCACGTCAGACAGTCATGCGTCTATTTTAAGCCACTGACCTGTTTTCAAAATAGCTGCAATTTTAGACGGCTTAGAGGATTTTTTTCTTTCAGAAATCCCGCGAAGTTGGGTCAAATTCTTGAGAAGTCGCCGAGTATCTAGTATAACGCTTTTAGCTAATGGAAGGGATGACCTCCGTGTTCCTCTTCGCCAGGCTACGTTCCTGTTCCACGACAGGAAGGCGCTCGCAATTTAAAATGAGATCTATACTGGTGCGAAAAGCTTTTTTACGAGTACTCAAGGATAAATTTTGCTGAGCGAATTAGATGTAACACGTGCTTATCTTACGATGACGCAGTTTTAAGACCATGAATGAGTTTGCCTGGATTCAGGCTTAACACATATTGTGTATATCGATAGACACATCCAGCCCTTTGATAACAATATCAGCGGCATATTTCGACTACCTGCGGCAAAATGTTGGCGCGTTTGGTATAAGTGCACAGCAAGCTAATCGCGTCGAGCAACAGACTAACGGCTACCTTTAAACATACCAAACAGCCTGGCTTGGGACTTCTTGGGCAGCTGGCGCTCGCCCCAACCCCAGCCGCCAGTCCCAGTCGCATGCCGCGGTGTCGTCCGTCGCACCGTGCCGCTGCTCGCCGCGGTCCGTCCGCCGTTTTTCTGCGCCGCTCCCGTCCATTCCGGCGTCAACGCCGGCCTCCGGCGCGCGGCGCGTCTGCAAGCGCGATATTGAAAATCATTTGTCCGGACCTCTCCAGTCCAGCGGCCCCAAACGACGCCGAACTAACGGGCCGCCGACCGGCCGCCGGCCCGGGCCGACTTTTTGCGGCGTGTCCGCCGGTCTGGTGCCGTATGCGCCGCCGGGCGAGGCGAGGCGGCCCAGAGGCGGCAGGCGCGGCTCCAGCGGCGGGCTTCGGCCCGAAGGCGGTCAGGCGCTGTTGCACGGGCTCGGCACGCGCTCCGCCTGGCGGCGTTCGGCTCAGCCTGCCTCGGTTCAGGCGGCGGCAGGAGAAGGCGGCATGCAAGCTGTGCACGGGGTGGAAACCTCTGATGGTGGCGCGCTGGTGCAGGTGGGGACCAAACGACTCTTTGAAATTGCGATGGTTGGTGTAGGTTTGGGCGCTCTAGCCCATTTAGCTGGGTGTGCCAGCAAGGTGTTATGTGTCATGCTGTACAGCATTTGCGAAAAGTCAGGTGGCTGGATGAATCGGACAACTTTATGTGATACATCAAAAATACGTGCTTGGCAGGACGGCAGCAACTACCAAACTGCGCGTGCTGTGTCACAGCTCTGCCTTCTAACGCTGCTGATGCAATGATTCATCGGTGCTCTAGCTCAGGATCACTTATTGCCTTTGAAGGATCCATTATAACCTGACACAAAGCCGCTACTCTCTCATTTCCTTGCAATCAATCTCTGAACACCGACGTCAGATATGTGTTTGCCGAGAACTCCCGGTCCCCTCAAGAAGCTCTTCAGCGCACAATGAAGCACGTTAGACCAAAGGAACCAAAGGAACTGAGAGAACGCTTCAGATTTACAACGTTCGTCAGTGCTTTGTTGTAGGCCTCTTGATGCTGACAATGGTAAAAAGCTTCTTGAGCAAAACATTAATATTTTTAAAGATAAGTGCTCTGTGAATGCGTGCTGTACCCACAATGGCGCAAAAGGTGTGTTGCATCTGTGGAAAATAAATAAAATCGACAGTTTCACGCTATTCATGGAGTAATATTAGTTGATCAGCAGAGATATTCGACATGGAAGTTATTCGTAGATAGCAAAAGAGACCAACGACCGCGTTCTTTGTGCTGCTATTTCCTTTAATTTTATGTCCCCCTCCTCGTTCTCATCCTCCTCTTTCTCATCCTTTTCCTCCTCCTCCTCCTCGTCCTCCTCCTCCTCGTCCTCCTACTCCCCATTCTCGTCCGTTCATTTTCTTCTTTCTCTCTTACTCTCTTTCTCTCTTCTTTTCTTTTAACTCTCCCCATTCTTCCTCTCTCACTCACTCTTCCCTCATCCCTTCCTCTTCCCGCCTCCCCACTCCGTTCCTGGCCTTCTTCGGTATTCACATCGTCGGCTCTCAGGAAGCCTGGCTGTCCGCCGCGGCGGCGCCTCAGGAGGAGCCCCGACTCTCCACGGACGGCGGGTAATCCGGCCCCCCTCCTCGCTCTCATTAGCCCCGTGTCATGTCTACCCGCGGCCCCTCACGCCTCGTTTGTCACCAATATGCCAGCCACCGGACAGATTATGGGCGTCGATAGAGGCTTTGTGAAGGCCGCAAGCTGGGCAGCGCCTCCGTCATGATTCGAAGGAAGTGTCGCAGCGTCGCCGTGAACGGTGACGTCATACCGCCGGTCACCAAGGGTGGTATGCGTCCGTCGTGAAGGATGACGTCATACCGCCCGTTATCAAGGGTGGTATGCATCCGCCGTGAAGGGTGACGTCATACTGCCGGCTGTCAAGGGCGGTATGCGTTCGCCCTGAAGGGTGACGTCATACTGCCGGTTATTAGGGGTGGTATGCGTCCGCCGTAAAGGGTGACGTCATACCGCCGGTTGCCAAGGGTGGTATGCGTCCGCCGCAAAGGGTGACGTCATACCGCCGGTTTTGGAGGGTGGAATACAGGTCGTCATTGTCGAATGCTTCACGCAGAACAATAGCCCATTGGGTGGATATTGCCGCGGGCAGCTGTAGTTATGTCAGCTTGGCGCTCGTTATACATTCCGGTCAGGATGCCCTGAAAGACCATCTTACGGCTCCCCATACATCTCTTAGGCTCCCATTGTCCTGAGCCATGCACTCAGCTGTATATTTCATCTCGCGTCATCGTCCACTTAAACGAGATATTGATGGTCGGGACGGGCTACGACTCACGGGCTGGGTCATTGGTGTGCTTGAGGTGGGCTGGTGCAGGCGCCCAGCGAGACCACTCAGGCTGGTGAAACAGAGGACACCTCCGCTGTGCAGAACGGGGTCAGTCACAGGACGGCAGGTCCCGCCCGCGAGCCCGACGCCATCGTCACGCACAGACACGTCTTTAATCCAGCGGCATGTGGGCTCCTCCCACATCTGGCATTTTCGGACTTATTGAGGACAAGTCTAACGGGGTCGGGCTAACCCTCGCAGGGCGACCGTTTCCTCATCGTTGCTCGGTGAGCGTGACGTGCAGGTTCTCTTTCATTTTCCAAGTTCTGGACGAGTGAGAGCTGGGCAGAAAGCAGCTTCGGATAGCTTGTATTAAACTGCAGCGTGTTAGTCAGGCTTACAACAGGACAGGTGACTTGTGTATCGTAGGACAAGATCATCATGATGACAACGGTGAATTTAGACCGCGGTTTTATCGAAAGGACTTTGACACATTTATTATTAAGCTTGCTCCATGCTAATGGAAAGGTAGCATACATACTCAGTGGCACCCGGCATCTTTAAAAAAAATATGTCAGTTATATTTCGAGTGAGTCTCGTGTGTGATATATACATAGATATATGTAAATGCATAATGCATGCATACATATATATATATATATATATATATATATATATATATATATATATATATATATATATATATATATATATATATATAAACCGACTTGATATGGGCTGGATGATGCACCTAGGCACTCCGGCTCGTATGCGTCAAAATAAATGACGCTTTCGATAGCTGTGCTTCTGCCATCAAGTGTTGTTGGCTCAAGTAAGAAAGTACGTCTTCTGGTAGCAATATTTTCTACAGAGAACCGCGTGCGCTCCAGGTGGGGCATCGGTGCCCCGGGGCCTTAACCAGGCCTTGACCAGTGCCGATGGCTGCAGGTGTGGGTGGCGGCAGCCGTGGCGATGCCGTCAGGCTGGGTGACAGCCCCGACCTTCTTGCTACACATGTGGTTGTTTCACTCCAAACCAGCACGGGCAAATTTTACGGTGCTCGTGAAGGCGTCATTTTTCATTATTTCAGCATAAAAGCACGTGGCCAGAAAAAGCAATGGGCGCCTCGCATATATAGGGCGACATGCTGAAATTCACTTCGTTACTGGTTTGCAGGCAAGAAAGTACGCATGCTATTTGCAGTCACAATGGTGTGGAGGGCGTCTAAGGACTACACGGATCACAAATTGCTGCTTCTGCAAGCATTAAATCGTATCTCGGATGACCCCGTCCGATGAGTATGAAGTAAAGACTCCACGGATCACTGGCCACAGGCATTAGGCAACTTCACTAACCATGGTGATAAGCTGTTTGGCTGTTGGTAATTGCAAGGTCATTCTCAGGTGATTACGTGCGTAATGTTAGTACAATAAGTATTCAGGAGTAAAGAGTTACCGTGCAATTCAGTTGAAACCACTTGAGCTGTCAGTCTGTTGCGTTAAAAGCGGACGCATGGGACGGTGACAGGCATTAATCCGTTCTTTGCCCCATCCGGCTATCAGGTGAAGGGAAGGGGTCTTGACTGGGCGGGTCCCTCCGGCCTGTGAAATGGGCATTGATACAATCATTGCTCAGATGGGTTTTACGCAAATGAGCCGTACGTTTCAACACGGCAAAGCTGGATTTCTTGTGTTTAGCCCTTCCTTTTCGCCCTAAAAGTGTTAGTTATTTACTCGTGCCCGGCCGGGGTCTGAGACAACCGCGCTCGACCCGGGCGGGGGAGAAGTTTCCCCCGGGATCCCCAACTTCCAGACGCCGTATAAGAAAAAAGATGCCGTTGCAAAAATCTCATAAAGTCACGAAGAATAAACACCAAAAATTTGATCTTAGGTCAAAGATAAGGTCACCGAACGTCACGAAAGCTTAAAACGGTCGCTCTGATTGATGCAGTTAAAACCTGCGCTAACACGTCAAGACGGATATTGAGGGCACGGAAATAAGCTTCAAGACGGTGGACAATTCATTTTGATAATTTCTGATCCACCAAATAAATCAGCTCAGATCAGGTCACCGTTCGATATTACTATACCAGAAGCTTACATAAGAAAACATTTCACAATGTGCTTCGACGTATATTTCACTAGATGCAGCTGTGGGACAGACCTATTTCAGACACAAAAGTACCCTGGCGACTTACAGGAAATGTAAGGTCAGCTGAGGTCAAATTTATAAACCTTCAGATAAAGTTTAAGCTCATGAACCTTCAAAGTTATAAACCTTTACCAATAAAAAATGGCAAGAAAAAAACTGTCGAATAGTGGGGTAAGACAACGTTGTCACAAGCAGTTCACATTTATATCCGTGTACGTTCAAACCTATAATTATTTCTTTTGTTCCCAAAATATCACTTTCAACTGTGCACTTCCATAAAACAATGTACGCTAAACTTAGCATTAACTGGCCTGAAAACGTTCAGAAATGTCGTATATTATCTGAGTCACTTTCTGTGGCCAGAGATCACACGTTTTTTATCAGAACTTGTACAATATATCGATGATTAGCGGGGCTAAATACTCGACACCATCATACTTCACTTTCAGCTGTTTTATTAGTTTTTGCTGCCATTTGATACGGACCGTCAATACCTTAAAAGGCCTTCAACGACCGCATGTTGATCATGCGCGAAAAATTTACTACGTTGTCATGAATGAATGCTAGAATGATAAACAAATGAACCGCACCTGTCCGTATCACCCTGAGATGAGTTTGGATGATACAGACTGGAATGCTGGAATGCCATTGCAGCATTTTTTTAAATTTTAGGTCGATTCCATGAATTAACACCCCAGTGTTGAGTAGGGATGTGAACTCGGGTTTAGCCTCATGTCGATTTGCCCTTAAGAGATATGAAAAAATACTCATCTGAAGTGTCTTTGGCATTTAGACCTGACATATTGTAATAGTATAATTAGTCCGATAAAGTGAGTAAGCAAGCAAGTGAGTTGGCCAAACCTGAGTCCGGTCTGATGAATGAAATAAATGGTTGTATCGAAGGGAAATGAATGGTTGTAACCTAAAACTACCGTGTTGTGATTGAACTGTATAACCCACTCAAAATTTAAAGGCAGACCGCAGAATACTCTGGATCTAAACGCGTCTGTAATTGAACAACAACAGTACCCAGGCACCAACAGTGCCCAGACACTAACCGTGACCAGGCACCAACAAAGTCCGCTCACATTTATATTCACGCCAAGCCCGTGAAATACAGCAGACATAACAGGTTGAAAATGCGTCCGATCCTTTCACCGATGCAGTGTCGTGCATCCGCGCCTCGCAGCCAAACATACGCGCCCGTCACTGGCGGTTATGCGGCGCCTGCCGCTTCGGAACGGGCCTGAAGTCGGAGGCAGCGCCGCACGCCCGTCTCTTTTGGCACAGCTCCTCCACAGCAAAAACACTGGCCCCCGTCCGAGAAGACATATGTTGTTGAAAGGAGAATGGATGGCTGTCGTCCCGATAAATCTTCGTCCGATGCCGGCCTTGCCTCGCATGAAACGCAGCAGCTGCTAGCTGATATCGAAATCATTGTGTCTGGGCGGCCTTAGACGCGCTTATTCAATAGCTTTGGAGCTTAGGGTGACGTCGAAGCCAGTATGTCACCGTAGATTTACTATTTCATCCGAGTTTCGAAATACAGATTTGGTATCCTCGTCTATAGGCTGATTTATTGCGGCACGTTGTTAAAGAAACTAAGTAAGGAAACATAGTTTTTATGCTACGTTAGAATTGTAGTTAGTGGGTTTATTCATCGGTGATGTAATGAAGGTCTGATAGGAGCACTGTGCTAAGCTTTCTTGGTGCTGCTGCTGAATCATTTGATATAGAGGTATTTTATTTTATGGCATTTCCTACCGCTTTTCTCAGACCCGGCATCATGTGCATATATATATATATATATATATATATATATATATATGCATGTATGTATACATATAGCACCGTTTCGTTTAGATATCACAGATATCCAATAGACTGAAGTCAATTAGCATTGTCTGTCCAGCTATTACCACGCAAGTAACATGTCTCGCTTGTTTCAGGTCCCACCCGTGTCCGCACGAACATGCTGATCCGCAGCATGGGTCCCATCTCCGAACTGGACATGGTGAGTCCATACTCACATCGGCCTGTCTCAAGACGGGTATGTCATTAAAAAAGTAACGGAGGTTTTTAAGTCCTAGAGTTTCGGCACAACGGGTTTTTCATGAAGACAACTATCGTTTAGCATACCCGAGAAACTAGTTCAGTTGGCCCAACATGCAATCATATGATGACTCTACTTGATGTTTGAAGCAGCCATGATCACTCGAGACCGTGAGCAATCCTTGTAAAGTCGGGTATTTTCGCGATGTATCGCAACGACTCCTTGATATCTTTGTTCTACTATTTCCTCCTGATGCCCCGAATGCCAGTCATCTTTACCATAAAAACTCACAATAAAATGCAGCACGCTAATAACCCAACGTTTTACAGTGATAATTGACCGTATGAGTCTAACCTTGCATGATAATTAAGATGCTTTGCCCGAGTCCTCTGCATTCAAAACTTAGGTTTGCACGCGGCAGAAATAAACATGTATTCCAGACAGGTGTACGCCGGGATTCGCAAGCATTCGGCACGGACTGCCTTCAATTGAAAACGCGCTCCAAGATGTGTGCTGAATTTGTGGACCCTGTATACCTAGCGAGCGCGAGGAGGTTTTAAGTAGCATATGTAGTGACCGCAGCTTAGTCGCGCGTATCCCATTTAAAATGAGCGTGGTCTTTGGCACCTGGTGATATAGGCCACATCGAAACTCGACCTCAATCACCAGGAAATATTTGTCTTGCTCTGCTCAGAAAGGTCCGTCTTGGAGCAGAACGTTTTGCTTATCGTGGGTCCAGGCTAGTTCAACAGTGTGGCCCAATTCCGAGCTAGGTGTGGTGATTTGCAGCTTGGTTTACGTTCCTGGACGTTTCATGGTGAGTTGGGCCCTTGAGAGAATGCAGAGAAACAGTGTGATGGCGGCTGGTAGATGGCTTCCAAATCCAAAACCGCTAGCGGAAAGAGCGGAACGTCGGACGAACGGAAAAGTCAGCGAGGTACCATGCATATCAGTCACCTTTATGAGCGAACTAGCCAATAATCTCTCGAAAAAATTGCCCAGCAAACATCAGCATTGTTTTCGTCACTAGCAACGGACGAGTTAGCACAATTTGACTACAGGACAATGAGCAGTTAGAGACGTGTGCATTAAACCATGCACTACAAGCCAGAGCTCTTCATGAGCTGCTAAGCTCCGGGACTTAAGACAATTCTGTCCGGTCTATGGGTTAGACGGGACTGATCAAAAATACTCCGGGCAATACGGCTGACCTGGTCAAACAGACTGAAACAAATTGAAGGGTTCTTTAATTGAATTCAAGACGTGGTAGACATGCCTGTATGTGTGCTGTCTGATATTGTTAATCCCATATTCACGTAACGGATTTCGCTAGAAATCCATGGGACGACGATTCGTTCTCCCTGAACTCTCTCGTCGTACGGTACCGATGATAGTTTGTGAGCTCTGAAAAGGAAGTTTGTAGTCTGAACCTCCCCCAGAAAAGAAAAAAGCGAAACTAATCTGAACTTTGAGTCATATAAGCAAAAACCCTACTCCACTGCATTTTTTTTTTTTTGTATTTCGATGTTGCGACTATAAGCCAACATGGAGTTAGTGATTGTTGCAAAATCCTGACAATGGCGGTAAGAGAAATATTTCAGAAGTGTTGCATCACAACTGGTGTTATTTATCTCTCTGCATTACACATTGATACTTAAATACGCCTCTGGCGGTGCTTCAAATCAGTGCCAGATGTCGAATCTGCAAAGCCGGTGCGGGAAAACATGTGTTTGGTACAGCGCTGACCTGCGTACAAATCATCGCAGCCGTTGCTTTTCCGCATATCTCTGGACGTGGACCGCCCCTGGTGGTCCGCTACAAGAACCTCTGCAAACGCCGCTTGGGCGTTACAGCCACTTAATTATCGGCAGCCGGCCTGTTCGAAATTGCCTAGATTTAAATAGGATACTAAATCCTATGAAGCGTTTCCTGGCCCCAGACCTTTGTTGCTCCCGCAATATTTGCGAATTTGGGATTCCATACACGTCCGTCAATTAGCTAACAGCTGTGATTGACAACCACGCACTAATGTCTCAAACCGAAAACGTCGTGGATTATTTGCGGCCTAGTCTACATGACACATCCTCTACGCCCGTCTATAACAATCTGAATTCGATTCCATTGGACTTATGTAACTGTACCGAATAAAATTCGGAACTTGCGAAAAAGCAGGCTTGGTGATTGGTTTAATTTAAAGATGTTGTATTTGATTAGACAGAATTTTGTACCGCCAGTCCGTGAAAACCCCTGTTGTGAAACAATTTATTTCCTGCGGCGCAACAAATCTGTGTATTTGGGCCCTAAGCCACCGGCGGCTGATAATTTGATCACGGCGGAACGGCTCTGCAGTAGCTCCCAGCGCCGTAACAAGAGCAGCAGCTGCGGCTGTCGGATTCCAGGAAGGGCCGATTGCATCGAGCAAACGTGCTGCCGAACCCGATGGGATATCCGAAGTCTGCGCCGGTTGTGTGTGCTAATCGCTCTGGGATTGTGCGACCCAAATAGCTGAGACTGTTAGCCATGGGGATTACACGAGACCATCACGTTCCTGGTTGTAGCAGAGGTGTCTGGCGCAGGCACTCTTTCGAGGGCCCGAAACACGCCCGACTGATTCGTGGCTGTTGCAATGGACAGTGACCCTCCAAGCGCTGGTGTTAGTCGAATCGTCTCAGACTGGTGAGGTTTGGTACCATTGGCCTTAGCTTGGATGGAGCTGGAAAATAGCACTTGCAACCAGACCCGTCAGTGAAGGGTGAGGTTAATGGACATGTCTCATGGTCGCAAAATTTTAGGCTTCGATATACCTCCGCCAAGTGATGTTTCCGTACTAGGTAGAAATGAGCTGGGCCATTACATGCGCCAGTTAGTACTCGGGGAAACTTGTGACTATTATCCACGCTGCACATACCAATGCCAATGCCCGACGCTGCAAATGGTTCCAACAGGGAAGAACGGGACATTGAAATGTGTACGAAGTGCACTGGAGGGCGGGAGGCTAGAAATGCTCAGAAATATCATCACTACGATTGGTTCGATATCACAACCGGCAAACAAAATTGTCTGAAAGATGTTCACCTGCTCATGCGCTTTCCAGGCGTGATCCGGACGGTGCGTGTCCTAGACAAAAGTGTCCATTGGGAGTTCCCCGTGCATCGTTGGTAGCCAAAGGGAGCAGGCTGGTCATCAAAGCACGGAAGGCTAGCGGATGCCGGGAAATGGATCTCTCCTTGACGAGATGGCAGCTGCTTCGTTAGTTAAAAGAATGACCTCCGGCCTGGGCCGGAGCAATCCCCAGCACCAGACAGGCCCGCTCCTATCGGGTGGACGTACCCCGCCCCCCCCCCCCCCTCTTATCAGACGGGACCTGTCAGTGCCGTCCGTCTCTCCCTCAGGCCACGGCCTGTTAGCCCGAGTGCTTCCGCGTGATCGCCGCTCTCGGCACCTCCACCATGCCGCCGATCGAACGGGAACGGAAGACACAAGACTTTTGTTCATAGCGTGTGTGTGTGGTAGGACGTGGAGAGGTCCGAAGCGCCCCTCCCGTGATCTCTCTGCGTCTGTACGTCTTCATCTGTTGATGTACTGAAATGTGTCCAGAGTTTCCGAACGGGTCCGGTGCGAAGCATTTCCTCGGCGGTGCGGTGAGACTGGATCGTATAAACACACACCTTTTGGGGGCTGTTATCAGAGGTACCACTATTGGATTTATCGCCGCGGGACGTTTTCCTTGGTCGTGTTCACCTCCCACTACGTCACCAGAGCTTTGGTCGATCGGATGTCAGCCCCCTCATCAGTAAAAGCGTCTCTCGTTTCTTCCTTCCGCTTTGCCTTGCACCGTCCACATTGGCCCTGCTCCACCCTCTCCCCCCCCCCCCCCTCTTCAGTTTTGCCTCCCTGCGCCCATAGGAGTACTCGATGGACTGCTACTTCCGCCAAATGTGGCGCGACGAACGTCTCAGCTTCAACAGCTCCATCGACCAGCTGAGTCTGAACATCAAAATGCTGGAGGGCATCTGGAAGCCGGACACTTACTTCCTGAACGGCCGCGGCAGCTACGTGCACATGATCACGCGGCCCAACAAGCTGATCCGGCTCAGCAGCAACGGCAGCATCCTCTACTCGATGCGGTGAGTGGCTGACGCCGATCGGACGCGCGCCGCTGCGGCCGGCGGCAGGTCGAAAGCGCAGCGCCGGCACTTTCGACTGCCTCGCTCGCCGAAGGGCCATCGGGACAGAAGTGGCTGAATGGCTCCGCTAATTTTGACGCTCGGCCGGCGCTGGGTTTTTTAATGCTGGTCTTTTGAAGCTGACGTTGTGGGGTCGTTGTCAGCGATGGCTTTAAGTGAGTTAGGTGCGGAATTCGAACGGCAAGTCGCGAGCAAAGGTGTGTGCAGAATGTTCTCAAGGGCACGGAATCAGAATGATCCACGCGACTAGTCTAAGATGAATCCAAACTTCGCTTTTCGCCATATTCCATGGCGTATATTATTGATGACGTAGATTATGTATATATGTTTTATATTGTTTCCACCTAACTGCCTTAAAAATATGGGAAACACGTGATAATGTGACCACCCATCACCCAGGATAAACCTGGTTGCCGGCTATCACCAATCTTTCATCGATGGTCTTTTGGATGTTCTGGAACTTACACTGGAGCAGTGATTGTTGATCACAGTTATTAACGGTTTTGAAACGCTATTCAACGGTTTTATAACGGTTTTAATAACTTGCGAGGCAGTCTTGATTATTTGTTTAGTTAGAAGAGACGTACTCGCGATTGGGACGTTCATCGTTGAAACCCTCCGTCTTTGCAGGCTGACGATCAAGGCCAAGTGCCCTATGCTTCTTCAGCACTTCCCGATGGACAAGCAGACATGCCCTCTCATCATTGGTAGCTGTGAGTGCACGAGATGCGCAGGCAGCAAATGTCCGTCTGCTGTTTTGCACTGTTTCAATGATCGTCATTAGCTGGCTTCACGACTTCAAAACATAAATTTTCACGACATTGACACGTGCTAGCAACACGTCGCTTGTTCAGCATTGGTAAGGCACCAGCTGTCCCCAATCAGTGCATGCCACCGAACCACGTTTCCTTATGACAACCGGTGCGACGTTTTTCTGGCCCATGTTTAAACAGCGGCGGTGGCCGGCTTCTCCATCTCCCACCACTGCGACATTTAAGCCCACCAGTACGATATTTAAGGACCGTCCATTGCCATCATGGTACCCTCCGCACGGCGTCCTCCGCCGCTCCCCTCCCCCCCCCCCCCCCCCCCGCCCACTCCCCTTCCACCGAGCGCACTTTCAGCGCCCCTCCCCGTCACAGATGCGTACACGGACCGGCGACCTTGTGTACGAGTGGGACCAAGAGATCAACGTCGGCCTGGCCCGCGGCAATCTACCTCTCGCAGTTCGACCTAATCTCGTTCCCGTTCCGGAACGCCACGGTCCATCGCAAGAGCGGTGAGTGCGCCAAGATCGTCGCCAGCCGGCGGCCCCGCTGGCCGGGGCTGGGCGCGACGATAGCCGCGAGCAGGGTCGCGGGGTGAGGGGGGGGGGGGGGCTGTGATGCGGGCCGCGCACTGGCAGTTCGCTCGGTGATTGCGCTCGTCTCCTGGCTGATAGCAGCGATTTTTCTGCTGGCACCTGTAGCGCTCGGTGTAGCGGCCGCGCACAAATCGAGCTATAAAAAGTTCAACACGTTCGGGTTTAGCGGTGTCATCGACTTCATAGAGGCGTTTTGTGCATTGCCAGTCATCTCCGCATTTTGCCAAGGCCGTCGGCAGCAGCGCTACGTTAAGGTAGCCCAAGCATGAAATCAGAACCATCTGAGCCTGCATATGCACCACAGTCAGCAATCCATGGCAAAGCCAGGTAGTGGTTGACCCAACAAATTGGGTTTCGCGATATATTTTGACATGCTCCCCGACACTGGAACAAATCGGCAGAATCACAGCACAACATGGCTTCGATTATTTAGCCAACACATAACGCTGCGGCCAGACAGGGTCAGGGCGACCCGACCGTTGGGACGGCCGCAGCGCGGCCCCAGCAGGGGAAGGTCGGGGTGTGCTGCGGCCAGCCGGGATAATGGCGACCCGACCGTGGGGACGGCTGCAGTGAGCGGTCCCAGCAGGGGAAGGTCGGAGGTGTGCGGCGGCCAGACGGGGTCAGGGCGACCCGACCGTCGGGATGGCTGCAGTGTGCGGTCCCAGCAGGGGAAGGTCGGAGGTGTGCTGCGGGCCAGGACCGGTGAATAACGGCTAGCGCTGCAGTACGCGGCCTCAGCAGAGGAGGTCGGCCGGTGTGTGACTTCAGCTTCGGTCTCGCCTCCCTGTGTGACCGAGATGCCGAGGCTGCGCAGGATGAGCTGGGTGGGATCCGCCTGCTTCTGACCGGCTAGCTGCAGTCAAATGGCTCCTGTGGTCAGCTATTTTTTTAAGGTTTTGTGATCATCAGTTGACGCGATTTGTTGTGGCGCATATACACTTTTTAGGCACTTTGATGTGTCGCGATATACGCACCGATAGGGCATAATGACACATGTATAATGCTTCCGTCTTGGACCATTACATTACCGGCAATGACCATTTCACGTGTCGGCAAGGCCTTGTAAGCCAAAATACATCTTTCAGTTTGACTTTAACGTACGTGTGACGCGGAAGGGCAAGGTTATGTTTGTGTCACACGTCACCGTCTTAGATGAAGCTCAATCGTAGTGATTTAACAACGGTGCTTGAACGCGTGCTCAGACCTTTCCGCGACGCCTAATCATTCATCACTCCAGTTTCAACACCACCCATTTCAGGGAAGAAGAACGCCGAGGAGTACTCAATTTTACAAGTGAACTTCAACCTGCAGCGGCACACGGGCTACTTCATGATCAACGTGTACCTGCCGTGCACCCTGATCGTGGTGCTCTCCTGGGTGTCGTTCTGGATCAACCGAGAGGCTACGGCCGACCGCGTCAGCCTCGGTGAGGGTTTCGGCCTCGTAACCTCTCAGATCGAGCGGTGATGGGTGACACCGGCCCAGGCGAACCGAGAGATGAGTCAACTTTGCCCCGCCTGATGCGGCGCAACCGTGATGAATGATTGAAATCGACGCGCCCTTTTGCTGAAGGCACTGAGATCACGCGAGCCGGGCGTTTGCTACGGCTCGGCGTTCGTTCGGCTCGCTTGCGATCCACTAGCAACTCACCATGGGTCGCTGGTGGGCCGCGTTGGCGGCGCCCGTGCTCTCTCTCTGTCTCTCTTCGTTGGATGCACCACGGTTCCGTGGGGTATCATCCCAGACTGCCTTGTCACGCTCACGCGGCATTCTGAGACGCGCCTCAGTCAGCTGTGGGCAGCTGGTCAGCTTTGACGCATCGTCGAAATTTTTGGCTCTGTCAGCAGCTGATCACAATGTACTGACCCTTTGTACAGGAAAATGAAAATGCTAGAGCGTTCGCGTCATGCGCTTATGGCTTACGCTGGACATGAAGTTGCGCGATGAGCTCTGTATTTCCGGCCACATTTCATTCATAGTTTCCTGTTCGACCTGTTGCCTTCAAGGCACAAAAAAGACAAAGCTCGAATATGTCTGGCCAGAAAAAAAACATTGGTGGCTGCTGACATTGCATGCTCGCAACAAACAAACATGAGTTGGGATTCTGTCTGGCTGTCAAAATAATCGAATTTGAACAATGTGTACTGCGACTTTAGGTGATGAAGGCCCTGTCCCGGTAAATGCTGCTGCTTGCTGGTAATGACATGCTTTTGTTACGTGCCCACGTCTAATAGTTGCTGGCCTGATTGCAGGCATCACGTCTGTGCTGACCTTGTCCACTATAAGCATCGAGTCTCGCACTTCACTGCCCAAGGTGTCCTACGCCACCGCCCTGGACTGGTTTCTGTTGGTCAGCTTCGGCTTCGTCATCGCCACACTGCTAGAGTTTGCTAGCGTGCACTTCTTTACTAAGGTGACGTACGAGCATGGGTGACATGGGCTCGTGTTGCAGCGTGGTGGGTTTTCTGTATGCAAAATTTGAATTTTGAAGGCTTTTTGGAAGATGTTTAGTGTGTGTGGTTCAGGGATGCGTGATTTATGATTGTTCAACGTCGCTTCATGGTTTTCGCTGAATTTAATATCGTGTTGAAATTACATACGCTTTTTTAAGCTTGAGCCATAAAACATTTTAAATCTTGCGTTTAACAGAAGTTCATTGGTGACCTAGAGCTTCCTAATGATCTTCAGTCTACTGTGCTGACTTTCATTCAGTTCACCTGGTCATGTAAATCCGTTGGCTCATATTGTATTATTCCAATTTGCATTGCCTCGCATAAAAAGGCATTGATATAGCCACCTCTGCGCTCAACGGTTTCTTAGTTTCTTGCACTCCTGTTTGACTTCATACATTGCTGTGATCCCAAGTGGAGCTGACCTTCAGGCGCAGCCAGCTGCTCTATATCCAGAATGCACGGGGATCTGAACTTCTGGGGATGGGGATCTGGAACGGCACACCGAACGTGTCTGTTCGGTGCTGCCGGAATACACATCACTTGTATTACTGTTCGAGTAAACGAATACTGTTGGTCGACTCTGATTCCCATATGGTCAATCCGGCGAGTGAAGTGTTTACCAGACGCTGCAGTGACGGTGGAAAGCCTCACAATACGCTGTTCCTTCGAACCACCAAATTGCCATGACAGGTGGGTAAAAAAACTGTTTGTGCGTCGTACCCGTGCCAGACCAC